GTGTATGTATATGTGTGTAGTATGGTCAATCTCGAATAAAGTGTTCTACCTGGCCACGTCACGGTCTGTGTGTCTCGTTTTTGGAACGTCAAGACGAGTCGTACTCATCGAAGTTGTGTTATATACTTCGATGGTCGTACTGTACCGAACTATATACAATCACTTTCGATAAGGTACTTACTACATTGACTTGGTATGCTATAAGTAGAATTAATGCCTATGTAATGTACTTTAAGTTAAGGAGTCAACTTACTGTTGGAATAAATCAACAATAAACAATAAGTGTCAAAAATACCTAATGCTTCCTATATGCGGACAAAAGGAAAATAAATATTCTTATTCGAACCTGAAATTGTTATCATCTGACTCAAAGATGATAAATCTATAGGGACTGATGTTTAATAATGTACTAAACTACACCTACGTCCCAACTAACTCCTACAAAACTGTCCATAATAAAATTAGGAAACACTGCGGGATCCTGTGGGATATCAAATTTATAGTAAAGACCCTACTAGTATATAGTAACTAAATAATAAAACAGGTTGAGACTTGTATTAGCTTGTTAAAAGTGTTACTTTATAGGGAAGCAGCTATTACCGTAGGTCTCATGGTAAGACCTAGGCCCGGGACCGATTTACTTTTTCATTTTGATGTCCCCAGAGGTCAAAAACACCATTCGTTCAAATATATATCCATCAGCACGCTAACTTGAGTAATTCTTGTCCGATTTTGATAAAATTTGGTTTGAAGGTGTAAGGCGGTATAAACTTGAATGAGTTCGCGAACCTGTATAATCGGACCATGGGAACGGGGTTTAACGGGGGTTTTATGGAGTAAAAATGGGTTTTTCTCATTCCCCCCCCCTGAAAACACAAAATCTATCAATTTTTCTCCAGAGCTTTTGTAAAGAGTTTAAAAAAACAAATAATTTAGTATATCAAAGTGTTTTTGTACGATGATTGGTTACGGAGAAAATTCAAAAAATTGTTAATTTAAAATTCCCATGTTATTATCATGGATAATATTATAATATGTTGTAGTTGGCTTGTTTGTGGATATATTTTGATCAAACTTGGCGGATATATTCATTACATACTAAGCTATTGATATTTTAATAAAAAACACACTTTATTAGTTTCCCTGTAGCAGCTAACCTAGGTAGCCTACTCGTTAAACATAAATGTTTAATTTAATAGATTAATTAAAAATCAATCCAGGGAAATGGAAATTCGCTAAGTCGGCAGGTTTGCTGCAGCGGGGGTATTATATCTTAGCGCGGCATTGAATCACCAAGTAAACTAAGATTTTGAATGCATATTGTTATAGTACTCCAATTGAATTTTATGTTATATGTTAATATGTTGTACGGTGTTATGCCCATATTTCATGTAGCTTTTCTTGTTCCTGAGCAATTTGAAACTTGTGTACAATTAATTGGCTATTGACCTTTAAATATATTTTTTGTGTTGAATTATAGACGTACTAGACGAAAAAATAAGTTATAAGACTGTTTAAAGAATTTTTGCAAGGTGTCCATAAGTGAAAAGGTTCCTGTGCCGATTTCTATCAAATTACGGATTTTGCACTTACTATTTTTTTTTTTTTTTTGCATTTACGTGTTCTATCGGATAGTATACTAAGTTAGAATATGTTAGTTGGTTTATGTTTATATTTTATATGAAAAGATTAATCAAAACTGTTACATTCACAAGAGTGATTTCATTGTAAACGTTGAAATAAAATTAAATTTAAGTAGAGAGAAAACATTTAAACATTTCTGATTTTTACATTTTACAGATTTTGGAAACCCCTCAACATTTTTGTCCCCACGCGCTATTTGATAATTTCGAGTATCACGTATGTAGAAAAACTTTTTTTCAAATTGGATATATTCCCGCCAAAACCTATATATGACACGCGGACGCGGCTATCCATCAGGCAATTAGCTAGACAGTCTGGATTGGCAAATTAGTCTGTACTCACTCATCGGAGCGCTGAGAAGTTGTATCCTTGTCTTTATGAGCTTGTCCAGATGAACAACTACTGCCCATCTCTCCCAGCCGTCAACGCAGCATATCAACACGACACTCAACGTAACCACTCAACACAGCTAGGTTGACATTCTGCGTCAGCCCGCCTACGCTGTCACTGCCTATTTTTAACCTTAGCCTATTTAGAGCGGCGGATTATTACATTGACAAATTCCCGTCCAGCGTTACGAGGCGGCCAATTTTAGTTATTACTGGAAAAAAACACTTATCTAAACCAATTTCCCGATTCGCAAAACCCTATAGATCGTTTTTTGCAGATTTTATCATCGGATGATATCAACTGGAGGTAGTTTGAACACATGTTTACACTGCACTAGGTAACACTGGAATATGTACAAGTTGAAACGTATTATCACTGACTTTTCGGGCGGCAGCCGTTTCGTCGCTGTCTTAACACAGTGAGCTGTGTCGTCTGCACGCCCCTCGCCATAGCTGCCAGTGCTGCCAACCCAGCGGGCGCTCAGCCAGGAAAATAAATTTCCCTTTTGATTCCCACCTCAGGTAAGCGTGGGATTTTGGACGGGTGGGAAAGACAATATTTTGGTATTTCGTTGGAAATTTTTACTAATCATCAACATTTCTCGAAATAACGCCACGATTCAACGTAAAGATCCACAAATTTACATGTAAATACTGGTCAAAATAAAACAGGCTTATTCAAGACTCTATTACAGCTTCTTTCCATAATCTTGCAAGACTATAATTATTCCCCTACATTTTTACTTAGTAAAGTTTTTCTACGTCCATTGCGTTGATTGTTTTACTAAAGAATTCAAATTAAACTCATTTGCAACACTTTTATTTTAATTTTTATGTAACCTACCCAGGCATCTACATCTGTGGCTTTTAGTGAGCAAGGAAAATAAAATAAAAACTGTCAAAACCGACCAAACCCCTCAATTTTTTAAAATTCTACGGGGAATCGAACCCATCCTCCTGCGTTGAAGTCAGAAACGCTACTATTTCATTAGGCAACACATGTTTTATCTATGACAACACCCTCACTTTGGATATGTTCGGACGATTGTGTATGTTGCTTTTATTACTACGACGTTCAAACTGTACAACATACCTATACCAACAGGAAATTAATAATTAATGCAGGTTGATTCTGTATAATAATTTGCACTAAAAATTGCTTCGTCGAAATTCGCTGAAAATCTATATCAACAGGTATATACCAACTGGAATGATAAACAACAAATTAAATTCTGTACTGCAAATAAAGTTAACATGTGAAACTCAAAGCGGAAGAAAAATGTATGGCTCAATTCAATAAATTTTCCTTGAGCCCAATTCACACTTAAACCTTTTTGCATTTTTAAAAACTATGAAAAAAATTGCAAAACTAATTAAAACTATTTTAAGGGTACACGGTGTTCACATTTTTGTAAATCGTTGGAATCGATGCCAACTTTAACTGGCAAGTGTTTTATAGGCGTATTAGCTTGCACTTTTCGAAGAGGTTTGATAGTATTTGTAAACTTTTTTAATTGATTAAGGAAAAAGTACTGGGAAAACACATGACCATCTGTGATAAAGTTTGCCGCTCTTCTGTCTGACAGGCGCTACAGTAATCGATCGAGTAAAAGTGCTATCAGTATTACCAACTGTGCGTTATAGACACACTTGTTAAGGGACTTTATCATCTGCGAGAGACAGCCTGCATCCGCAAGTGGTACCAACGTAACCGTTGATACCTCTATATTTTTATTACGTTTGGCAGGATTCCTTGTTTTTTATTTCTAGTTCTAGGTTCACATGAAATAAGCTTTAGCTGATTTTAACGGAATATATCATTATTTTAGTTTTGAAATATATATAAAAAAAAAATAATAATAATAACTATTTCATGATAGAAAATTGGATCGAAGAAGGGGGGGGGCTGTTTAGTTTGAAGGATAGTTTTTCTTAAAACATAATATGTATTCTTATAGTAAAATGAATCCATACTGGGACGGGTGGCGTCGTCCTGTAATCCAGCTACTAGGAGGTCACGAATTGTGGATATTTATAGGCATAAACTGTGGAAGCGATGCTCCCTGGTGTGGATTAACGTCCGCACGAGTGAGTACTTGACTATCCGCAGTACTATCCTGATAATTAGACAAATTCGTTAAATACCAAGGGGAAAATGTGGTTCGGATTCCACTCTAAACTGTAGGTCCCTTAGTTGCCATTAGCTATAAGGGCTATTAATTATCAGCTGTGTCTAAGGAACATGTCGGCCTTAGTCACTAACAAGACTACAAGATCGCGCCACTCATCCTACACTCATCCATCACTCATATTTGGGTTAAAATACGCACATAGTGGCGTCCCCATCTTAAATAATTTATAATTAATACAAATTAAACAAATTGGCTCTAGACATTTTTTATCGTTAATAGATGAGGAAACAAATTAAAACTATGCGTATTTATTATTCACTGAGCTTAGTTTTATAGAGATTAAGTAACTTATAATATATGTGTAGCATAGTTATTGTATAAAACATTTTAACTAATTAATTATTTTTTCAAGTCGTTTAGTTTGCGACTAGCAGGGTAAAATACAATGATTTTGGTGTTGCCTTCTACGACCATTGATAATGGGAGCTTTATTCTAACATTTTAAGATCGACATAGTGTTTGGTTTTCAATCCGACGATGCCATCGTCAATTAAAATGACACTGATGACTGATGCTCTATAATCAAAGGCACTAGTTGGCTTCGAAACTATCTTCACTCGCTCTAGTCAGCTGAACCGAACCTTTTTCTTTCAAACCCAGCTCCTCCAGCTGTTCGACAAATTTGGCCAATGGCCAATGAGGTTTTGTATTCATTTACGCTGTCTAATCCTAATGTCATTTAATAAGTTTTCTAGGTTATTTATAAATAATGTTTATTTAAAATTGAAAATATTGTATAGCCTATAGCCTATCTTGTGATCGTTTAGTAATTTATCATTATAGTCCTAATGTATAATTGGTTTTAATTTGCGTAAAAAATCGTATTAATGAGAAACGTGTATAGTTAATGTAAATAAGACTCAATATTTTTCGGTGTTGTATAAGTTAGCCTATTACTGTTAAAAATGTACAAGTTTTTCAGCAATATTCTTTACTACATTGAGAAATATTGTGGTAAGCTGAGGCTAACTTAGTTTAGGCTTAGATAATTAATTTCAGAAGTAAACAGACAATAAGATCTTATTACCTTGGACCAAGCTTTAACTTAGTGCAAGGTGTGGGTACTTAGGCAACAACTAAGTTTTTTTTCTAACTTCCACTGTGTAATCACTTGCACAACTAGAAATAAAGGTGAGTCGAGTGAAGTATAGCCATAGAGCGGCTGCCGTAATTCCCAAACTGCATGGGATATTATTGACATTGTGAAATAGGTTTGGCAAATTCATCTTGATATTACCTAACACCTAACCAGACGTTAATACTGCATTTGATGTTAGGGAATGCCCCTTAAAAAACTTTCAAGGTCTTTTTTTGAACCCACTAAAGATACAGTTTCTTAACTGGGCTACGCTAATATTGATTGAAACTATCGAATTGAAAATATTGATTAGCCTAATAATCGATCATTTATAATATATCTATTGAAAATTAAAGTATCATAACTTAACCTAACCAACCAAACTTGCTGATGGTGAAAAAATCTCATGAAGGTTTACTAATCGGATCGATAGTTTCAACCAATATTAGCGTAGCCCAGTTAAGAAACTACCCTCCACTATAATTTTAAAGTACAACACGGTCCCTACGAGTTCATACGCCAGCCGGCAGTTGATGTGGAAAGTCTGATCCCTAGCCAATTATGTAAAGCTTTAAAACTTAGTTTGCTTCTGTGAAAGGTCTTTAATTTTTTTCATACACTTATTGTACCTATTAACTTACTAATAACCTTGTATTAGGTGTATGATAAGGTTAAGTTTACCTCTGCGTTTGCAAATATTTAGGCCTAGTAAAAAAAAATTTCAAAAACGAGCTAAGCAATATGGAATTGATTGCACTCTACGGACTTAGACTTTGGAGTTATTGCACCAAATTCAATTCCAGGCATTTTTGTCACGGTAAATAGATACTGGTTAAGACAGGCCCGCTTTGTCCACATGACTGTGGGAAAAGATCAAATTTAGCCACATTCACGGAAGATAATGATCAGTGGAAGATGAAATTACAATTTTGCCGCAATCGCGGGAGACGATTACGATGTCCACACGGTCGCGAGGGATTATCAGAAGTTTACAGCGATCGCATGCAATTACAACAACCATTTTTTTCCAAATTTTGGCGTCCCACAAAAAAGCCAGTTGTCCTGCACCCTAGGCACGTGCCTATTCGGTAAATCGGCCCTGGGTACAGGTGATTATTTCTGTCAGGGTGCAGTGGTAGCTTCTACGGTGTGTCTGACTGATCTAATGTGAAATTGTTTCTAGTGTAGAGTTTTCCATTATTGAACCAATTTAATTTGGTGTTTTACTGACACATAAAGTAAGCTTAGTAAATAGTTTATCATAATTTCTATTTATAATCTGTTTCCCATTAAGTTAATGCTCCAGATACATTAATAGTAAACTATAATAGTCAGTAACATAGTTAAGGGTCTGAAAGTATTTAATAAGTGAAATTCAATTATTTCTGTTTCAGTGGATTACATTGATGTGGACTACTCACTGTGGGTTTCCTGGCTACTTTTACCTCTGATTGTCTCATTTATGCTTCCATTGTTTATTGTTTTACTTTTATACATGAATGCAGTGATACTGTACATATACAAACTCCATAGGTATGCAAACATTTACCTTCATGCGTGGATCAAATCTTTTTGTCTGGGTTTAATATTTCTTTCTCTAACATCCTTTAACATATTTTGGACAGTTAAGGCTTAGTTACTAAGGTTAAGTTTAGGCTTACAAACTATTAGGCCTCCCCAGGGTGCAGAATAGCAGGCTTGTCAATGGCATAGAGGTGGGGCGTTATTTAACACAATTGGATACCCTCTACCGCAGCAAACCTGCTAGCCTATTAGGCCAACTGAATGTTTTTTTTCACCCTGGTAATAGATTTCTGAGAATATCCTATTATTTTAGGAACACCGTCTGGACTGTTTAAAGGGATAAATGAAATAACTATTTTGCTGATTGTGTGTTTCTAATAACAGCGAGCATCACAAAATAATAATACCTTGGTAAATTGAAAATGCATTTTTTTTTGTTATGTCATCTAACTGTTAGAACGAGCAAGTGGAATAGTGACGATCACGTTTTTCTATTAATGCCAAGCATATAAAAAAATAATATAGTAGCTTACTTTGGTACCTTATACGATTATTTCTGTAACTGTAATGTTGTCTACTGTTAGAACGAGCCAGTGAAATAAAGTTGATTGTGACTTCCTATTGACAGCGAGTATTACGAAATAATATAGTAGCCTACTGGTACTTTGGTAGTGAAATTATTTGTTGTAATGTAGGCTAGCTGAACTTTTTGAATGAGCAAGTGAAATAATGTCCTTCTCTTCTTACTTAAGGTGACCGGCTGTAATGTTTGACGAGGAATTAATTTGGAGCCAAAATTATTGTATTATTTAACTAATCACCGAAAAGCTATGAAACTTTCCTCACGATTATTGCAAAGTAACGGTATTTTCCATCTCTAGTATGACCTAGAGATCCTACTAAAACCAATTCCTTAGACATATCAAAACTAATCCTATCCGATGCTTGTGAGTACACTCTGGATAGTTTTACAATCTAGTCCACTCGAAATCTGGTTTGAGACAGGAAATTTGCCAGTACAATAGACTTTTTCCGTAGTTTTTTTTAGCAGCTATTGGACAAATGCAAAGAGTGCGCCACCTAATACGGTAAAAAGGACAATAGAAAAACTTATTTACCACCCATCTTTACACTTACTATTTGCTATATCTTGCGTTTCAGGTACAGATTAAGAGATGCCTTTGAGACAGATATTTATGACGGTGCAAGAAAACTTATAGCTGCAATTTGGGACGCACATGGATATATTTGGCATGGTAAGAGAAAGTTAATTTAGTTTTATATACGTCCTCTAAATAATTTTGTCAGTTACCCTAAATCATATATCACATATTGCAGCTTCCCTAAAGGTGTCGGTTCGATCCTGGAAAAAGTGTAGCTTTTTGAGGTTTCAAAACTGGACCCAGCTGTCTTTGATCATCCGACTCTCAGTAAATAGTCTTGACTAATGAAACAGCTGGTCTTAGTCAGTAAGAAAGCTTCACAATATACTCAATTCTACACTCATCCTTCACTCATATTTAAGTTAAAATATGCACAGGTGGCGTCACCATCGCATATGAATATAAATATTCTAATAGGTAAGACAATAGTAGGTACTAGTAGGTAGCTAAAAGTTAGTAGCTTGAGTACGTTATTATGAAAATGTTTGAATAAGGTCTTCTGGACCTTGGTCACTAGTCATGCTTGGTCATAAGCTTGCCTGAATCAAGTGAGATATGGTAGGTACTGATGTTCTTGAGATTTTACAGACCTTTAAACTCAGAGTCAACGTTAACCCCAGTTACTATGCAGTCTGAGAACAAAGGTTATTTATTTTTTTACTTGATTACATTTAGAGTCTTTTTGAGCCACAATATTTTCTATAGACATTAATTACTGCAATAGGGTAGATGTAAACACACATTTCAGGAAGTATTTTTACACTGACATGTTGGGTAATTTATCTTGTAGGCCTATGTTATCATACTTTCTCTTCCTTTGTTGGTTTCCAAATAAAACAATTCACTCCAGACCGATTTTATTACATTAATTTCTTACCAATCGAATTTGAAAGAAACACCCTTTTGATTTGTTGGTTTTAGGTTATGAGGTGAAAGGTCTTGAGAACATTCCCGAGAGTACACCAGCATTGTTCATTTACTACCACGGTGCCATTCCTATAGACTTGTATTATTTTTTATCAAGAGTATATCTACTTAAAAATCGTCTAATCCATTCTGTTGGTGACAGATTCCTGTTCAAAATACCAGGTAAGTTAAAATATTTTACATTCACACGTACTGTATAGTAAACTGATATTAACTTGAGAAGTGTTTAAACAAGTGCACAAACATGCCCGGCTGGCAAAAGTATTAACAGCATTTCAGGGATGAACATTGATAGTGGATGTTTTCGAAACATAGATGGTAGGTTAGCGATGTTTTTGATAGCCTACATCAATGTTCTCAACGGAAATCAATGTTTTTGGCCAACAATTCAAATATAATACTAATGAAAATTTGAATGTAGTCTTGGAAAGAAGTTAAGTTTTTGTATTTAATCTATTTTGGTGGAATAGCCTATTGAGTCCAAAAGTATTTAGTCAAGAGTAGATTGAGAGTGAGATAACTGTATCTCGTTGAGGTGCTTGTTCTAAATCCTGCCAAAGACAGTTCAAAAATCAAATTTCAAATTTTGATTTTATGCCCAACAAATATATAGTGCTTCAAAAGTTAGAAATTTTGATAATTTTTATTTATATATTTTGTTTTTTAGTGCACACTTTTAGCACCTTATTCAAGTTCAGGTTCTTCTGAAGGGATTGGGTTTCATTTTAATATTTAAAGATGTATAGAATCGGAGATATTTGATAAAACACAGAGCCCTGTAATCGCTGAAAATGCCAAATGGGCACTCCAACGTCAGAAAAATGGCTGCCATAGGTGGATAAATTTAAATAAGGAATATTTGCACTTCCAATGACATGTGCTTTTGGCTAAAAAATATGAAAACAAAAATCTTGAAGCAACCAAATATTTCTTTTCTGGACCATTTTATGGATTGACACCTAACTAAATGTTCTCTTCCTCCTAGGTTGGGCCATCATTGCGGAAGCTCTCAAAGTGATTCCAGGAACGATACAGTCGTGTTCGGCCATCCTCAAGGAGAACAATCTCCTGGCCATCTCTCCGGGCGGAGTGTACGAAGCTCAGTTCTCTGACTCGTACTACAGGCTCATGTGGAAGAAGAGGCTAGGTTTTGCTCGGGTGGCACTTGATGCCCAAGTCGTAGGTTTCAATTTCTTTCTTCGTTAATGTAAAATATAGCCTACTCGTTTTAGATAGGCTCTTTGTACTCTTGCTAGTTTACCTTTGTATGTAGGGCATTATTTTACTGTAGTAAAAGATCCCAAATTAATATCTGTGTACGGTATAATCATTTATGTAGTGAGTTACTGTTAATTCTTTGAGAACCAGGGCTAAAATTGAAGGGGGAATGTGTTCCGGGACATTATTTTCTAGAGAAAATATTTAAAGTTTTGAACAACTTAACAAATAATAATACTGCATAATGTTTGACTGCTTTTGTAGTGCCTTGACACAATTTGGGGGGAGGGGGGGAGGATAATGAAATGAATGTTAAAGGATGGGTCTTTGCTTCCACTAGGTTTCATTATACCTCAAATTGTTGAAATCAAGCATAGGTGGAAACTGGTCTTAAATTACTGACAGCTTCAGTCTATTTTAGCGAAGAAAAATGGGTTCTTGAGTATTAAACGGAGGCCACCTAACCTACAGTTTCTTAACTTAGCTATGATAATACTGATTATTAGTAAACCTTCATTCGATGTTTTCACTATCAGCAAGTTTGGTTGGTTAGGTTAGGTTATGATAGTTTAATTTTATAACTGATATAGCTGACCAGACACAGTGACAGGCGATGACAGGTAATGGCGCGCGCTCCGGTCAACGACCCTGACCTTGGCCTACTTGGAGGGGATTCTGCGAGTAGACACATGACTCATCTGATAACGCTCAACTCACAACAATACTAGAATAGTTCTACTACAACATCTATAACAATTTAACCCTCTATAAGTGCCGCGGCGTGTTTCGTAATGGTGGCCTCCGTTTAATACTCAAGTACCGAAAAATGTTTTATTTACTAAATCACACCAAACTTAGAAAGACCATTGAAATTTTTACATATGTAGCATTTGTATGGTAGGAGTATATTCTTTTATTTAAGAGGAACCAACGTGTTAAATAGTACAGATAATTTTATACCATGGATTACCATACATCTTGTAAGACCCGACCATTTGCTAGGCCTAATCCTTTTTTCTATATTAAGTTATGTGGGTAGGCCCAGTGTGTATGCTAACAAAATATACGTATATGGAATGTTAACCAAATTTATTTATAATGTTATAATCACAGTTTCATATTTTTGTACAATGAAAATCACTGTTTCAACATTGGTCCTGTATATCTGACATTTTCACTTTGTTTTCAGCCAATAATCCCCATATTCACCCAGAATGTGCGGGAGTCATTCAGATCAGTCGGGTTCTTTCGCAGAGTTTGGCTCAAGCTGTACCAGTGGACCAAGTTTCCTCTGGTGCCCATTTACGGCGGATTCCCTGTGAAGCTGAGGACTCATGTCGGAACTCCAATCCCTTACGATGGCTCACTGTCACCCGAGGACTTGGCAGTTATTGTAAGTAGCACAATTGTGTTCTTTTTATCGTACTACTTTCAATTTAAATCCATTAAAACTATTGGTTTAAACAACAATGGTAAAAGTCAGTTTTTTTGTGATTTTACTTCAACTATAATCTGCTAAGCCTTTTCTATTCTCGTCTCTCCAGGTAAAGCTTCTCTTTTACGTACTGTTGGAGGTCTATTTTCACAATTCATTTTAATTCTAGGGGTCAATGTGCCATACATTTACTTTGGGTTAGGCCGTGTCCAGTCAAAATGTTAACGATTCTCAGACATAAATCAGATCCAGTCAAAATCGGGTTGCTTTGGAAAGTATTGATAAGTTTAAAATTAATTGTTATTGTTATACTACAATTACTTTGTACGTCTTCTGGGATCACAGCGAAATTGTGCACATTTCCTGTGGTTGCAGCGAAATTGTGAATTCCTTGTGGACTAAATTGTGTGACTATTGTATTTGTTGAGTAAGTTTCTGTACGTATGACATAATGGATAGAAAGTATGAGTGTGCGTCAAAAATTGATTTAAAATCAGCTTTTAATTTAATATTCATATAAGACTACTAACTTGGTGGGAAAAATGCAGCTGCTTTATTTATTTTGTTCGTGACTTCTAGTGCAACAGTGCCATGTTTGTTACTATATACCATCTAGGTAAATAAAATATTCTACATTTTTTGGAGTACCAGTATGTGGTTTTATAATTTTAAGGTGACAGGATTTATGTCACTTACATTATTTTAATTTTATTCAAAATTTCCAACTTTTCTTGTACTTTTGTGTATTGTACTACATTGTGTTTTTCTGCATGGCATTTTCCAGGTAGGAAGTGCTCTTGAGGAGCTTATCGCCAACAACCAGAGAATCCCAGGAAGTATCCTGCGTGCATTGATGGAGAGGTTTTACGAACCAAAAAGCAGCGTGAAGAACAAATGATGCAAGGTTGTATGAGTGTTGTAGAACACTTTGGACTATAGAACACTTCAGGGTAGTTAGTTGTATACCAAGCCATGGTGAGGCAGGGAAGGCTACATACAATCAAAATACGGTGTTCACTTAGTGTATTAACGTTACATTAAACTTACGACTTGAAATCATAACTCAATGCTATTGAGAAAATCAGTACAAGTATTTGATTTATTTTTATTAGATATATTTACGTTGTTGACACAAACATGATTCTCGTGAGATATGTTTTTTGGATTTTTAAATCTTTGGTTTATGATTTTGAGATTTTAATTTGACCTAAAACACTCAGCTGTGTTGCTAGTTGAACTTTGCTTTATGTTTGGTTGTGATTTAGTTTGGTTTTCTTATGGATCTCGATAAGTGCTCCCATGGATTTTATTTAATTTCATGATGAATGATTTTATTTAAATATTACTTAAGTTAAGGACTTCAGCGTTCCATAACCTCTCTCTATTAAATGTTTAAGTAAAACTGAATTTGGGTACGGTTTTATTATTTGATGTGCTATAGCACAATTTTACTGTGTAGGGAAGGAAACTAAAGGATTGTTATGGATGGATAGGGATGGTAAAATCATCCAGCAGATACCTCATATTCCTTTTAGCGAATTTCCCATATAGGGAATAAGCTATTACCGTAGTACTCATGGTAAGACCTGGACCCGGGACCGATTTTTTTTTTCGTTTTGAGGTCCCTAGAGGCCAAAAACAGCAACCGTTCAAATTCATATATATATATATATTTATATATATATTTATATATATATTTATATATATATATATATATGTGTCCGTTAGCGCGATAACTCGAGCAAAAATGATCCGATTTTGATGAAATTTGGTACAAACGTGTAAACCTACGTTTATTCAAACGAGTTCGCGAACCAGCATGATCGGGCTATGGGAACGGGGGTTAATGGGGGCTTTTATGGGGTAAAAATGGGTTTTTCCCATTTTTGACCCAAAAAACTTAAATTTTTGCAATTTCTTTCCAAACTATTTTGTAGAGCTTAAAAAAACATATAATTTAATATATTGAAGCGTTATAATACGCCTAATGGTTACGGAGAAAATTCAAAAAAATTGTAAATTTAAAATTCCCATGTTATTCTTATGGAGGATAAGTAAACTGTTGTAGTTTGCTTATTTATTAACATATTTTGCCCAAATTTGGAAAATGTTTTTATTTCTTACTAACTATTAACATTTTACATAAAAACACTTTAACCCTCCCTGTTGCAGCAAACCTAAGTATGTGTTAAACTGATTCGATTTAAATAGGGAATAAATGTGATATTTTTAAGGAGACATTTTAGTGTAAATCCAATCAGGCAAATGGAAATTCGCTTAGTCTGCAGGTTTGCTGCGGCGGGGGTATTTTCTTAGTTGCTTTCTAAAAGTAACTAAAAATCAGATAACCTCATATACTGGTATTTTGTGAGTATTTAAATAATAGGCTGTGTGTTAATTATCTTCCCATATTAGTTAACGCCATTCGTAAAATATCTAAAACAAATAGGTTTGTTATTTACATGTAAGTCATGTTATATTTTATGAAGACCTAATTACTTCTGTTAATTAGTTAAGGATAACAATGCTAATACCTGGACAGTCAGACTAGTACTGTATAATAAACTAGTCATGATTTAAGAAAACCGGAATCCTAAAAATTCCTTACCAAAATAAAACTTAAAAATGTAACAGTATTTCTGAAATATTGAAACACTGCAATATTTTAGCTACAAACTATGGATATTGTCAACCTTTTTATAAGGACTTATTTCGTTCCCATCGTATGAATGACCAAATTGTAGTCTTGAAATAACGTGTTGGAGGGTTTGTTATTTCTGTAGCAGGCGTTATTTCATCAGGTGCCACCCCCATTTTCTCTCATACCCCTACATAATCTTCCTATAAGGTACTTAAAACGGTTAAAAAATAAAGAGATTTCTTCACATAAATGGTATGTGGTAAATCACAGACGGTAACAGGCTCTACTCATAGAAGTGGAGATAGAGTTGACAAATTTGTGTTTTTCTGTCTTCCTTTAATTTCCTATCTTATTTTTGCCAATGACTTCTGAAAATTTTTTTTACATTGCAAATAAAAATTTAATTTATGTAACACGGCAATGGCAGGTGGTTGGTAATAATGGGTATGGCCGAATGAATACACTTTTATTACGGTACTCGAAAATGTGTGCCAAGTTTGGCTAACCAACATTTTTGGTCGGAAAGGTGCCCTAAACAATTTCTATTAATCCAAATAAATAAATATTTAAGATAATTTAAATAGCTGAGAATTTTCAGAACTTGTGTTGAATACAATAAAGGCGATGTCTGTATTTTTACATTTAGGCCTAAAACCCCCTTATTTTGTGCAATTCTTTTAGAGTTGATCGGTGCTAATTGACCTTGAGTATATTTAGGTATTGATGCCAATAATTGTGTATTAGTTTAGTATTATTGTGGTGTAAGGTGGTACATTCCTCGTCAAGTGTTAACGGTTTTAACAAATTATACGTTTGTGGCCATTATACTTATGTATCTGTGTTATACTTTAATTTTATACTCTGTGTATTTTGTACTTAACTTAGTGAATCCGGTCAAACATATTTATAGCTACTGTTTATTTGAATTGTTATGTTATTTATGACAAAGTATAATGATTGTACTGAAAAAATGTATATGTAAATATACTGTTGTATGTTAATAATTCTTTTCATTTATTTTCCACTCGTTTCATTGATGTTTTATGCTCGTTTTGTCTGGACAAACTCCCCTGCCACCCTCTTTCACTACCCTTTAAAGTAATATTTTTTTTTCTGTAATAACCTTCAAAATTTGCTATCTTCAAAAATGTGCATGAACACGTTCTGTTCATTTTACCCAGATAGTTGAGTTACAAAATAAGTAAAACCTACTTAAACATTAAATTACATCTCTTAATAACAATCACATTACCTAATATTAATATTGAAGTAATAATTTAAAATGAAAACAAATCCAATTATATATGACAGGTTGCCGAATGAAACAACAAACTTTGCAACAAATTAATAAAATAATGTAACTTTTGACTTGGTGTATTAACAAATTTATGAACACAAAATTCTAGCTTAAGAGAAAATACAATTCCGAACTAGAATCCGCGCTAAGTTATAGGCCTACAATAACAAGATAAAGATTGACATGATTAATTCCATTTTAGAAAGAGGGGGGAAAGGCGACGCGGAACTAAAGGCGACAGACCGAAATGAATTTAGAATTTTGACTAACTTTAGCTGAGTGCCTTCCGTCCGTAGCCAAGTTGGCCGTGGAGGAGCATCAGCCAATGACGTTAGTTCACTGCTGTATAGTGCTGCTGCCTAACGATCACTTGGGGTGTTAGACAAACTGTAGTTGCGCAGTTACCGGGTTCAGCGAGGAATTTGCTGAGAAGAGCTCAGCGAATTCCAGCCATGTGCATGACACTTCTTGAAACATTGGCCAGGCCTGACCGAATATTATGGTTGCCGGAATATGCCATGGTGAGGCAACTGGGCTGACGCAGAAGTTAGGAGGTTAAAAAAGTTCAATATTACAGACCCTCCTTTAATATTTGAAATAAAGCAAAGATTTTGTGATGGTATTGACAGGGTTTCTTGAGGGTGTAGCAAAAAAACCTCTCCAGCTGATATGTAATGGGTCTGGGAATTTTTGGAGCCGTCACATATACATTTGACCTAAACATAGTTAAGTGATAATGATTATTTACATTTTAGGCTGATGTTGGCTAAAGTTTAATGCTCAGTTGACCTTCCACCATTGAATTTGGGAAATCGAAGTAGACATTCCATGGTGTGGCTATTCTCAATTTTTCGCTTAAAAATATAACATTCTTTAACCACTCACATAGTGTGCTGTAAAAATTGTATTTTCTCTGATAATTTTGGTACTACGGTAAATTAATGTCACTTAGAAGATACTATAGCATCAAGTAGTCCTTTCATTTTGGCTTGGTTAAAAAGTTTGATTAGACAATCGGTAATCGGTGCTCTCTGTTGGCGATTCAATTCAACTACGTCGATTCTCATTCTAGAATTGGTAACATCTAACATGGTAATGGAATGCAAACTACTCTACGAAGTCAAATCTTCTGCTCACCGGAAAATTTCAGAAAGAAGGTCGTTTGTAGTTTATGACTTTGACTTTCATTCTTGAGCTCCTAAGGGAGAGAGGGCAAAGAGCCTCGACAGTCACTATCATAAAGTCCCTCTGGTCAGCCAACTTGTTTTGCTGTAGCGCTTTTGGTGACATTGTTTTCTCCAACCCTTTTTCCACAGTCCACCTATGGTTCTTAATTTTTCTATTTAGAATTCCATTCCGAGGTCTCATCTCTTCAACTGTCTTACAACAGGTTCTTGGTGGATTTTAGAACTGACTGTATGAAAGGTGTTCAAAAAAGGCAGGGACATAACTTACCTAGTAATTCCTTGGGTTTAAATAAATAAAACAGTTATAACATAATTTTTCGATTAGCGTCTATCTTTATGTGTTTACAGCAAAAACATTCACTACTCCTTAACGGTTTGAGCTACAGCGTTGAGATTCTGCAAAAGATTTTTGTCTTGTTGACCGGTTATTTTGTGTAAAATGAGAATAAAACCCTTTATTTGTTTCAAAATAGTGGGTATTTTAAATATTTGATGCCAACATTAAAAAAAAAAAACTGTTTTCCTACAGTTACCTAACAATGTACATGTTCTCTCACTGATTTGAGAAAACAAAGTGGCCAATTCGCTCATCAGTGAGACAATGTTAACATTGTCTCACTCTAATTACTTTGTCTCACTCCAGATTTGCAACGTGAAGGCTTGAAATAGTGAGCGCGTAACATGCAGGCAACGTCGTATGCGCGCGAAATACGTTGGCAGCACTGGCTGTAAATCAGCTGGTCAGCTGTTGTACTGTTGTATTTGTCACTTCACGTTAAATGTTATATTAAAAGTTCACTTCTGTGTAAAAATAGGTTATGTTTCTTCACCAATTTATTTGTTTTATGGTAACTGTAGGAAAAGTATAATGTGCAACTCGAGTTCAAAGTACAATTGCCTCACTCGAGAAACCATTCCTCACTCGCCTACGGCTCGTGAGTAAGGATTTCTCTCGAGTGAGTAAATTGCTCACTTTTCGCACTAGTTGCACAAATAACTATAGTTTTACCAAAGTATTTCAAGATACATAGCATTTAGGAAGTTTTATGGAGATTTCAAAGATATCTTATTAAGCTTAGTTCAGTTGAGAACAGTTGTGTAGCAAAAAAGTCTCTCACTATGAGTGTCCTTGCTATATTGTATTTAGATTTCAGTTTGGAGCTATTTAAAACCTCTTGAGGTTGCCTCATCTTCTTGCGTTTTATTGTACCAACGAATTGTTATTTGTTAACCCAAATAAGGCGCTAAAACATCACCAAGCAAAGCTTATCATTTGGTGACCTTTTTATCTAGACTTAGGAGTGAAAGGAAAGAAATTCTTAGTCTCTAATATAGAATTTATTTATAACTATTTAAATATTATATTGTATTTAAAATTTTAAAAACTGCCTAACAAGT